TGCAATGCATGGACTTAGAGGGTTGTCTAGTGCTCCAAGAGGCTCAGTGACTTGCTCAGGGTCACAAAGCCAGGGTATATCAAAGGTAGAGTTTGAATTTAGCAGTCCTTGGTTCTGAGTTTAGCACTCTAATCACTATCCTAGTGGTGAAGGACTCAAATAGGACCATCTCCTACAGTTTTCATATTGACTTAGAAAATCACAAATCAGCATTATCTATGTGGTATTGTATTTGTATTTATTTTGTTAAATATTTCCCAATTACATTTTAATCTGGCTTGAGCTGTAGTCATCAGTTTCATAGGCCTCATGGGGACCTAACAGGCCCTGAGTTTGGTACCTCTCCATGACACTATGTTGCCTCTCAGACACATTTAGTAGGAGTAAGTATTTAAAATCTTATCATTGGTGGGGGGTGGTTATACAAGCTGTGGCAGAATTCAAGGAAACCTAGGAAGATTTATATGAACTGACAAAACGAAGCAAGCAGAAGAACCATTTATACAATGACCGTAACACAGTTAAGGAAAACACCTTTGAAAGCCTTAAGAATGTTAATCAATGCAATGACCAGTGATGAATCTAGGGACAGGTGATGAGGGAGACCAATGCCTCTCACCTCTTAGTGCAGAGGTGATGGACTGTAGGGAGTGGTCCATTTTCAGACATGACCATTACAAAACAAATTTGTTTTGCTTAATTATGCTTATAGGGAGGGATTTATTTGGGGGAAGGGGAAGAATGGAAGGAGTGATAGTTACGCAAACAAAAAGAAGAAAAGTGTCTATAAACACACAAAATACACAGGAGAAAATGAAAAGAAGGTCAGTAGGGGACATGGACAAGCAGGACAATGTTGCTACTCCTACATTCAATTATCTATCAATACATGTGCCTATACATACTATATATTGTATATATTTTTAAATAAGCTATATGTAATAGGTTTACATCATATACAAGTCCTGTTTTCTGGCCTTCTTTGTAAATGCAAATAATTTGTTGATTTTCTAGCTCATAATATAAAACAATACAAGTCATGGTCCATGAATATAATGAAATGTCTTTGTGTTGAAAAGAATGATAATATAACTAATTCAGAAAATCATAAGAAGACATATCAACTGATATAAAAGGGAAGTAAATAGAATCAGGAAAACAATATATACAAAGGGAAGTAAGTAGAATCAGGAAAACAATATATACACAATGATTCTAATAATAATAGCCCACATTTATATAGTGCTTTATAGCTAGGTGGTGCCATAGTGGATAGAATGCAAGTCCTGGAGTCAGGAAGGCTACACTTCATGAGTTCAAATCTGTCCTCAGACACTTACTAGCTGTGTGACCCTGGGAAAGTCACTTCACCCTGTTTGCCTCAGTTTCCTCATCTGTAAAATGAGCTGGAGAAGGAAATGGCAAACCATTCCAGTATCTCTGCCAAGTAAACCCCAAATGGGTCACAAAGAGTCAGACAGGACTGAAAACAACTGAACGATAAAAGGTTTACAAAGTACTTTACAAATATTTTCTCTTTTTCATCTTATCAACAACCTGGGAATGTAGGTGATATTACCATCCCCATTTTACAGAACTTGCCCAAAGTCGCAGTTAGTGTTTAATGCAGAATTCAAATTCAGGATTTCCTGACTGCACCACCTAGTGGACATTATTTGCAATACAGCAATGTGAATGAAAGAACAGTAAGATTACCTACACGGAAAGCTGAGAAATTATAATAACCAGACTTGGCCCCATGAGAGATAGGAGATGGTATCTCCCTTTACTGCTTTGTAGAGGTGAGGGACTACGGGTGTGGAATATTGCTACTACTTAGACTTTCCAATATGTTGGTTAGCTGTGCTGAATTCACAGAATTACCAAATTTGATCATTGGAAAATAGCCCCACTGCTATCTACTTTAACTCATGTAAGAAAGCACCCCTCATCATATCTTCCCCAACAAGTGACCATCTCAGCTCTTCATGAAGCCCTCCATGGTGGAGGAGCCCACGACCTCCTAAGGTGGCCCATTCCATTTTGGAACAGCTCTAATTGATGGGGAATTTTTCCTGACATCAAGCCTCAGTTTGTCTCTTTATTAACTTCTACTCACCCTTCCTAGTTTTGCTTTCTGAGGCCAAACAGAATGACCCCAGTCCTTCTTCCACATGACAGGCTCTTCCATCCTCCCCCAGAACCTTTTCTTCATGCTAAACATGGACATCTCCTTCAACCCATCCTTATAGATATTGGCCTTGAGTTTTGACCGTTTGGTCCCAAATGAAAGCTTGTCTAAGAAGTTATAGTTGGGAAAGGATCGGGAGATCTTCTTGGCTAGTTTTAGGGGTGAAAGCAAAAAAGTAAGAAACAATGAACACTTATCAAATAGCCAGCTGGCACGGACCAGAATCTTTCCAGGGAGTTCTGTCACCTCTCACGTTATCTGGTAAGTACCAGGAGGTTGGCCTTGGAATGTTCTTAAGGGTTTGGGTTTTTTTTTTTTTGCCTTGTGATTCTACTGAAATATGAATGTTAACTGAGATTCCATAGTGAATGGGTAATAAGCCTCAACCACATAAAGACCCTAACAGAAGGGGGAGAGGGTCTTAATTATTAATACAGATGAGGACATAGACCTGTGTTTCCATCAGTATGAGGCACTCCTAGGGCAGAAAGCTCCTACCAATGGAGATCAGCACCTTTGCTCAAACTCATGGTCTAATAGAGTTACCTAGAACATTTGATGCTTTGCCCAGGGTCACACAGTCAGTTTGTATCAGAGGCAAGACTGGAATCCAGGTCTTCCTGGTCCTGTATTTCTGTATCTACTGCTCTAAACTGCCTGTTGTATACATATTTTTGTTGTTCTTCAGTGGTTTTTAGTTGTGTCTGGCTCTTCATGATTCCTTTTTTTTTTTTTTGGCAAAGATACTAGAGTAGTTTGCCATTTCCTTCTCCAGCTCATTTTACAAATGAGGAAACTAAGGCAAATAGGATTAAGTGACTCGCTCAGAGTCACACAGCTAGTAAGTGGCTGGGTACATTTGAACTCAGATCTTCCTGACTCCAAGCCCAGCACTCTGTGCATTATTGGCATCACCTAGCTGCCCTCTATTTACATAACTATGTATAAATGTGTGTATGCATGTGTAATAGGAGTGGTGTGGTCTATGGGGATGAGGAGGGGAAGGAGAGGGAAAGAACCAGTCTTTGAAGTATGCATAGATACTCCCTGCCCGGCTTCAGTCCAGGTAACCCTGTGGAAACGGGCCAAGCCAATTAACCCTCCACCTGTGAAGGGCTGGATGGGAAGGCTCACTGGGCCTCTGGAGCCTGAATGATAGCCTCTCACTCGTCCCTTCGTCATTCTTTTTTTCCTTTTCATCTCTAAGAAGGCAGGTCTGCTTAGGGAGTGGGCCACAATCTCCTTCCCATGACTGCTCACTCCCCCAGACTCACAAGGTTACCTGGACACTTCCTTCTGGGAAGTTCCATTCACCTAAGATGAGGAAAGAAGAAACTCAAACAAACAGAAGCATCCGCCATGGCCAGGTGAGAGATGGGGTGGCTGCCTTGTGGTCCCCAGAGGACCAATGCTCCTCTTCACTGGGAAGGAAAGAAGAATGATGAGGGGGAATGTGACAGTTGCCTCTTTTAAATACCCACAAGGCTCAAGAATCCCTGAGTTACCAGTTCTTCTTGATTTACAACCAACGAGAAAGCTTTCTGTCACTGCCTACTACTGACAGGACCAGAAACCATTGCTCCTTATGGCAGTCAATGACAATCATTAATTAAGCGTCTGCTATGTGCCAAACCCTTGGGATACAAAAAAAGGCAAAACAAACAAACAAACAAAGAACCCAGTCCTTGCTCTCAAGGAACGAATAGGCCATTGAGGGAAACGACATGTAAATACCTATGTACAGACCAGACAAATGCAGGATAAATCAGAGATCACGATGGCTTGGCCTGAAGCCAGGCCCGGAATGTTCCGTGCATGCTCCGAGGACTGGCTCCCCTCCCCCTCCCCCTATAGGCCTATAGGCCCGTCCACCTATTACATATCTTTATGGACTGGAGCACACACTGTTGATCCATTTACACTCCTCAAAGGGAACGTGGAACTTGCGATTGGAAAATTCTAAGAAGCAAATGTGCCCTTCTATACATTATTGGTAGGGGTATAAAGACCAGACAGGATGGAAAGCATCGCAGCAGTTAAAATATTGTTGATCTCATCATAGCAAGACCACCTGATCTGGTGTCTCCTGAGTTTAAATCTGGTATTCTTTCACCTAGGGCAGGCAGGTGGCAAAGTAGATAGCACTCTAGACCTGGAGTTAGGAAGACCTGAATTCAAATCTGGCCTCAGACACTTACTAGCTGTGTGACCCTGGGCAAGTCGCTTAACTCTGTTTGCCTCAGTTTCCTCTTCTGTAAAATGAGCCAGAGAAGGAAATGGCAAACCACCCCAGTATCTTTGCCATGAAAACCCCAAATGGGGTCACAAAGAGTCAGACGACTGAACAGCAACATTCTTTCACCTGCATTGGGCTGTCTCCCCTAGCTCAAAGCACACTTCTCTGTGGCACCAAGGTTACTGATACCCTTGAGCCCTGGAAATCTCCATCTTTGTTTGACATTAGATTCCTCTGTAATCAGTTGAGTTCACCAAGTGTTAATTGGGTCTCTACTCTGCTTGGGATCTTTTGCAGGGGTGTGCTGGCAAGTGCTTAACAACTATCTCTCTGGGTGGGAGGAGATACGTACAACACACTTTTAAACTTAAGCTGTATTATTAACATGTTCTTTATTGCTTTTTTTTTTAGGTCTGGGAAATCAACAAAACAAGAAATCAAGCTCTGATTTGTAGCATTCACCATTCCTGAGGTATAAATGGGCATACTGGAAATTTAACAATTGGCTCTCTGAAGCCTGGATATGCTGGGTCTGGCTCATTCCTTGATGCTAGGGGCAAAACCCCTCCACAGTCCCGACCTTCGAGTAGCTAGCAGCGTAGTAGAGGGGATCTTGTGCACGAACTGCTATAACACAAGTCAGAACGAGAAGAGTGTGCAGAATTCAGAGAGGACCGATGGGGCAGAAGGGGGTATGTCCTCTAACAGGGAAATTAGGGAAGCTTTACAGAGGATGTGGTACCGGAGCCAAGCCTTGAAGGAAGAGCAGGATTTCAACAGGCACAGACTGGAGGCTAGGAGACCAGTGCTGTAGTAGAATATTGTCTACTGCAATGGTCCGGGGGAGGGGTGATGAACGATGCTGCTGGTGGGAGCTGAGGCTGGACCCTCTGTCAGTCTGCAGTGCAGCACCTGCTCGTCTCTGTCTCCCCCTAGTGCCCATCATGGCATCCTACACACCAAGCTCCAGTGTTTGTGGAAGGACCCAATTTAAGACAGAAACAAACCTCCTCCTTCCTTCCTACAAGGCCCTCTTCCTCCTGCCTACTGAGTGTCCACAGACTTTCAGGGGTCTCCCCCCTCTTTCTCAGGATGGAAGAACACCTGGAGACCCTCTCTAGACCTCTGCCTCAGAGAGCCGGTTATAGGTGTAGGTCTGTTTATATGCCCATGTCATTGTGAGGGGCTAGGTGATACAGTAGATAGAGCATGAGTCCTGGAGTCAGGAAGACCCAAGTTCAACTCCAGCCTCAGCCACTTACTAACTGTGTGACCTTGGGCAAGTCACTTCACCCTGTTTGCCTCAGTTTCCTCATCTGTAAAATGAGCTGGAGAAGGCAATGGCAAACCACTCCAATATTTTTGCCAAGAAAACCCAAATGGGGTCACAAAGAGTCGGACATAACTGAAACAATTCAAAAATAACAAACCACAATGTGCCTTTGTGAACATGTTTGTCTGGACACATCTTCATGCATGCTGGTGTTTGGAGGAACTTAAAGCTAGAGCGATAACAAGAGCAATGAGCGTTATATTTGTGCAGTAGTTTATGGCTTTGATCCTCAGATGCTGCTCTCACCATCCCATCATCTCCTGTCTTTCTATTCTGCTCCCCAGTCCCCACCATGCCTTTCGCTGTATCAGCTTCTCTTCTTGAGGCTACCAGGAGTAGCCTGAACACGGGTCATGGGCCAGAGCTAAGGATAAAGGGGGAGCAAGAGAAGGAGAGGTAGATTGGAGAGTGAGCCTGAAGTATAGAATGTAAAGTTTACAGTTAAGTATTACAGGTAATATTTATTGTTTCCCAGTAGAATGTACACTCTTTGAGGGTTGGGGCTGGTTATATAAAGGTATAGGTCTCCCCCTGGCTGGTCTTTATGAGCATGTATGGCATGCTAGGTCAGGCAATTCTCCCCATCTCTGCCTCTACATAGGAGACTTTGGGGATATTCTGATTATTTTCCATCTGCTTACTGCATGTCAAAGAGGGGCTTTTTTGTTTGGCTGCCTAGTGAGAACTAGATGTGAATACAAAAGACTCTAACTGTTCTTTCTTGGTGGTGATCTAGACAATAAATGCTGTAAGCCACTGGGTGGGGAGAGAGGAAGCTTGAAAGCCAAGGGCTGTCCCTACCCATACCCACATGTATCTGTGAATAATAATAATAAACAAATGAAGCCAGCATTTATACGTCACTTAATGATTTCCAAAGTGATTTCCAAATGTCATCGCATTTCATCCACACAACAACCCTGAAAGGTGGTCATCCTCATTTTCCCCATTTTACAGATGGGAAATGTGAGCCTCTGAATTTGCTCTTCCCTGCTCCTAGGCGAAGGAACATCAGATACAGCTGGGATCTTGGGATTTTTAAAAGGTCAGAAGCCCATATTAGAGCTTGCCTTTAGAAGCAGACCCTGGGAAAGTCCCGGCAACCCGCTGGAAGAGCTGGTAGAAGGATCCAAGAGTTTATAAAGGCTATATTTGGGTTTTGCCTGCTGTTTTGATCAGCACCGCACCCTGGTCAGAGCAGGCTCTCCACAGAGACTCATGGAGGTCACTCAATCTCCCATCTCTGGTCCTTTCCATGCCTGAAAATCCCTCCCTGACCCTGCCTTTGGATTCCCAGGTTTCTTTCAAGATGCAACTCAGGTTTCTGCATGAGGCTTTTCCTGGTTCCACCCAGGGCCATTACATTCCCCCAAAGTTACTTCTTATCTGCCTTGTATGTGTTTTCTGTGTACCAGTATATGTGCAAGTTGTGTGTTCCTTGAAGGCAGAAATGATTTCCTATTTTGTCTTTTTATTCCCTACCCTGAGTACAATGCCTGGCAAATAATAGATATTTAATAAAGGTTTGTTGATTGATAAATTCGTGATTAAGTGAATCCCTACTTTGCAGAGGAGGAACGGATCCAGAGATTAAATACTTTCCTAGGGTCCCAGGACTAGTTAGGTGTCTGGTAGAAAGTGATTTGAGGGCTTGGAGTATCGTTTACCTTTCTTTGTCTCCTCTGAGCTTAGCACCACACCTGACACATAATAGGTGCTTAATAAATGTTCGTTGACTGCAAAGAGTGGCAGATTTGTTAGTCATCGAACAAGTATTTATTAAGTACTTACTGCATGCCAGGCACTGTGCCAAGCTCAGAGGATACAAAGAAGGGCAAACACTGTTCCTGCCCACAAAGAGTTTATAGTCTAACGGAGACAACATGAAAATGAGGTATATACAAGATATATGCTGAATAGATGGGAGATAATCCCTGACACTGGAAGGATCAAAAGATCTAAGGTGAAATATGAGCTGTCTCAAAGGAAGGCAGGGAAACTAACAGGCAGAGACTATGGAGAAAGCCTTTCAGGAGATGGAGGTGTGAGGTGTGGGTGGAATGTCCTCTGACCCGCCCGGCAGGCCAGAGAGACCCAGTGGCCTTGAGCTAATTCCACTGCAGACTCTCTGGGTTTCAATTTCCTTATCTGTAAACGGAGGGGTTGGTCCACGTGGGTTCTAAAGTCCCTTCCAGCACTAGATCAATGATTTCAGAGCATTAATTGTTTTGTTTATATCTTCTGTTCCCAGACGCTAACGCCATACCGGGGGGCATAGTGCTAAATTTGCTGAATTGAAGTGAATGTCAAGTTCAAATACAAGTTTGAACGGAATAGCAGTCTAGACGTGGAGCTGTCCAGACCCCTTCCAGTTCTAACATTGTTTGGGTTTCTTAGATTCTAGCTTCAGACCTCACGGTCTCTTTCAGGTAGTTCACTCACCTACCTCTGCCTCCTACCCTTGTCCCTAACTCTGGCCCCTGCCCCTTCACTTCCCCTAGAGGCCCAAAACAGAAATGCCTACTGACTTCAGACCATGGAGGGAGGTGGGGGGTGGGGTGGGAGAAGGAGTGGGGTTAGAAAAATTGGAAGGACTGCGAGATCCGCAGCGCAGTCCCAAGGCTTGTGGGACTGGAGCGTTCAGGGAGACCCATCCGCCTGCACTGCTCCAGTCCTACCGGTTAAGCACCTAGAGCCTAAATGACGACCTGACCGGGTAACTCTGCCACTACGCTCCCCCCGGCCCCCACCTTCGGAGGTTGGTTGCTCCTGGCCAGGCTACAGTTTGCTCAGTGGGCGGGAGAGAGTGGGTGAGGGGTGTTTTCTCAGTAAACACAGCAGGAATCCGGGTGACACACACATCCCTACCCGCTGCTCAGCTGTCTAGAAGCCCAGCTCCGAAAGGAAGTAAGGCGCATCTGGGGAAAGCTACTCCCTGACGGCCCCCTGCCCTGCCATGGCGGAGCGGCCCCGGCGGCGGCCGCGGCTCCGGGATCTGGGGAACCGCCTGGTCCGGGTCCTGGGGGGGCTGGGGGGCCTGAAGGACAGGAGGGGCAAAGAACCATCTCTTCCAGGAGAGTCCAGAGTCCCAGACAGGTGAGGGAGGCAGAGACTTGTCACTGGGGAAGGGCTTTGTGTTTAGATGGAGGATCCCACGCGTCGTGCGTGGGAGTTGGTCTCAGAAGAAGGGGTCTCAGGTTCTGGGATGGCTCAGTCCTGGGATTCAAGGGCGGTGGCTGCCGGTGGTGTGCAGAGAATGTTAGATAGAGCTAGAGGGACCTGAGCGCCTTAAGAATTAGACATAGAATTCAGATCATTAATTAATTAGGTCGTTGAAATTTAGAGCTGGTGGGGACCTTAGAACCATTTAAATTTAATTAAGAAATTTTATGATTATTCATCTCTAGGACTCAGCTAGGTTGTACAGTGGACAAAGCTCTAGGCCTGGGTTCAGGAAGACCTGAGTTCAAAAGTGATCTCAGACTCGTGTGACCCTTGGCAAGTCATTTTACCTTTGTCTGCCTCAATTTCTTTAACTGTAAAATGGAGGTAATAGCACCTACTTCCCAGGGTTCATGTGAGGTTCAAATGAGATAATATTTGTAAAACATTTACCATAGTGCCTGCACAAAGTAGGTGCTTAATAAATGCATTTGCCAACCCTCTACCACCCTGCCTCCCAAGGAGGCATGATTTTAAAAGACTGAAGTCTTAGACATTAAAGGTATAAGGGGCCTTAGAGATCATCTAGTGGCCTATATTCTAATTCAAGTCCCCCATTTTATAGATGGAAAAATTGAGGCCCACAGAAGGAAAGCAATTTACCCAGGGTCACATAGCCATAGGACAGTGAAAATAACAACAACAGCATTTATATAGAACCTAAAGGTTTGCAAAGCGATGTACATGTGTTAGCTCAGTTGATCCTCATAACAACCCTGGGAGGTGAGTGCTATTATTATTAGCTCCATTTCTACAGATGAGGAAACTGAGGCAGAAAAGATCTAGGGATCTGGAATTCGAAGTCCTGAATTCAAATCCTAATGTTCACCAAACTGTGACTTGGGCCTCAGTTTCCTCATCTGTAAAATGAGGAGTTGGACCAGAGGACTTCTGAGGTCCCTTCATGCTGTAAAATCTATGATTCTATCCCCATTCAGTTTTTGAATTCCTAAGCTTTAACGCTTTCCTCACTCATGCCCTAGGCTTGTGGGTGTGGTGGGAATTAGCATGGGTAGACTTCAGCTCTACCATCCCTAGGCCTTGGTCTCCTTTGTTACAGTCACTGGGCTGGAACTCTAGAGGTTATAGTAATGCCTTTGCCATTGATTCAGTGTATGATCCTGGGTAAGGCTTCACAAGGCAATGGAAACTCAACTCAGTTCATTTAATTAAACATTTATTAAGCACCTACTATATACTGGGTACCATGTTGAGTGGGGAAAGATAAAAAAAAGTCCCTGCTCTCTGAAGGAGTTTAAATTCTGTTGGGGTGGGGGCAGACACAACTTGGACACAAGTAAGTCAATAGGTGACAAATAAAGTCCTTTCCGGGTCTAAATCTACGACCTGGTAGGCCTCAGTTTCCCTAGCTGTAACATGAAAGAGGTTGGACTTGGCGATCTCTGAGGCCTCTTCCAGCTCCAACAGTCTGTGTATGAGTGTATATGGTACCCAACCTCTTGTAACTTGAATTCTTCATCCTCAAACTCTCCCGACTTGATGAAAAGCCCGGTACACAGACTGGGGGCGTAGAACATGCTTAGTCTCTGAATGTTTGTATGCAGTAACGGTTGCAATTTGCTTAGATCTTATCTCGGGCCCAGCTGTCTTCAGGCAGCCTCCTGGCCAGCTGTGTTTGCTCTAGGCCTGAGGCTGAAAGGAGAGGGGTGGGGGTGGGGGTGGGGATAAAGAGAAAGCCGGGAGGCCGGGATGGCTGGTCAGGATGTGCCGTTGCCCAAGGAGGAAGGACAGGGAGAGGGGTCAGAGGGTGACTGGGGACGAGCTGGACTGGGACCTTCAGGGATAGAATGTCAGCACTGTCCGGGACCCTGGACCATAGAACAATACTGCAGGGGTGGGGAATCCTAGAACACAGAAAACATTAGAGCATTAAATAGCCTAACATGCTGTGGAAGGTTGGCAGGAGGGGCGGGGTGAAGGGCACTGCCCTAGGTCTGGAGACATCCCCTCCCCCCCAGGGCTTCCAGTGCTGTTGTGGGTGAATGCAAATGGAAGATTTTTCCCATTTCCCTGGAAGCCTGAAGAATACCTGTCAGACACCTTTAACCCTACCGACAGAAGCCACACCCCACCTGCTTTGGCACAAAACATGTGCTGTCCCTCTCTCCACCTCCCGCCCCAATCTGGAAGCTCAGTCTCCTACCCCAAGCCACCTGAGAGAAGGCGGGGTCAGAGAGGAGTGAGTCAGGAGGAAGGGAGTTGGATGACAGGCTCTGCGTGTGTGTACCTGTCCCTGGGTCTGGACCGTGTTCCCATGAGGCCGTGGGAATGCAGGGCCCTGGGCGTCCTATGGGCCACGACGTGGCTCCTTCCCCATCCCAGGGTCCTCAGGGCCTGGTTAAGGCAGAAGCCATGGAGGAAGTGGGCATAAGGAAGGAGAGAGGGTGGGATTCTGTCTCTGGCCCTCTTCCTGTTCTTGTGTATCTGTCACTGCCTCCTCTCCTTGTCTTTATCCATTTGGGTCTATCTCTATTCCCTCTCTGTATCTCAGTTTCTAAATCTGTAAAATGAAGATGAACTACATGATCTATAAAGCTCCTTCTAGCTTTGACATTTTGTGTTCTCTTAGTTCCCTCCCAATTTTGGCATTCTATGTATTAAGTTCATTCGCAGCTAGGACATTCTTTGTTCTAAAATCATTTCCAGCTCCAACAATCTGTTATTCTCTCCATCTTTCTGTTCCTGTTGCAATCCCTGGCCAGATTTGAGTTCAGTGGGTCTGTAAAGGATGGAGCAGAGGTGGTGTGTGTGGGGGGGGGGGAGGGAACAGAAGAGTAGAGGCAGAATAGTCCCTTTTGTGATTCCAATAGCCCTGAGTCCTACCTTATAATTGGCCTTCCCTTGCCCACCCTTGGGTAGGAGTTATTATTCCTACTTAGATTCCAAAGCAGGGTCTCTTAACCTTTTTTTGTATCATGGGTCCCTTTCATAGCCTGATGGAACCTATGGATATCTCAGAATAAGGTTTTTAAATGCATAAAGTAAAATATGTAAGATTACAAAGAAAATCAATTATACTGAAATACAGTTATCAGAAATTTTTTTTAGGTTCATGGACCCCAGATTAAGCACCCTTGCATTAGGGGGCAGCTAGGTGGTGCAGTGGATAGAGCACCAGCCCTGGAGTCAGGAAGACCTGAGTTCAAATCCGGCCTCAGACCAAATACTTGACACTTGCTAGCTGTGTGACCCTGGGCAAGTCACTTAACCCCAACTGCCAAAAAAAAAAAGAACCCTTGCATTAAAGGAAGTGAGTGGAGGGGGGCAGAGCTGTAACTAGCATAGGGTGAACAGGGCCTTGCCCCAGGGGGCTTACACAGAGGGGCATGTACTTCCTTCCTCTTAGAGAGCACTACTGTCCCCCCCCACCCCCGACCTCTGATACGCTGTTTCCGATGGATACAATCCGATGGATACATCTAGTCCTGAGCTATCCCCCTAGGGTCTCTGGCCACAGCACCCCTCTTTGGGACTCTGTCCCCCCAGTTCCCAAGCAGGTGACAGTCTATACCCAATGTCTGAATGTTTTCTCTGCTGCCTCTGATACATCCTCCCATCCTCTGTGCCAACTGATTTGCCTCGGGTGAAAATATTCTTATGGGAGGGAGTTCAACCTTGAGGGATTTTGAATGGGTGAAGGGGGCAAGAGACACTGTTCACCCTTGTGTTCCCCTGGTATTCTCTTCCTAGGCCCTGGGGAGGTCAGAGCTGCCCAGACCTGGTTCAGAGCAGTAGCACCGGCCACCACAGCAAGGTAATGGGCATGATAGCAGGTGTTACAATAATAATAGGGCTCCTTAGCTGGGCTCTTTTGTGTCAGCAACTTCCTACTGGCGCTCTATGGTGCCATGGATTACCTCTCTAAGTTCCTACTTCCAGAGAACTTTGCTTGTTCCAAAATGCTTTCCTTACTGCACCCCTGCAAGGTAGAGAATGAAAGTTCTATTATCCCCACTTTTCAGAGATTGAACTAGAAAGGGAACGTTCCTTCTCAAGAGAACACATTGATTAATTCATCTCTTTGGAAGCTTGTTAGGTGGGGGGGGGGCACAGGGGAAACAGAGACTAAGGGCTGGGACCTCTAGCACCAAAGGTGGCCCAGGCTAAGTTTCCCATGGGAGCCACCTGCACGGGTTGGAGAAAAAGGAGGGCTTGAGTTTAAGGCTGCTCCCCCATATGCCTTCTGGGTCAATCAATCAATTGACAAGCATTTATTAAGCCACGACTACGTGCCAGGCACTGAGCTAGGTGCTGGAGACAGAGATACCCAAAATGAAACAATCCCTACCCTGGAGGAGCTTTCATCTAATCAGAATCCAATTCTTCCCTCAGTGCCTAAGTTCTGCCCTTTCCTTACAATTATCGCTGTCTACTCAGCAACTCTGCACAATCACCTCCACCTCAATTATAAAGACCTGCCAACCCACCAAACTTACACACATACACAGGTATGAATATATACATATACATGCACCCCTCCCCAGTCCCTGCAGGGCATCACCCAACGCTGCCCGCTTTGCCCACAAGGATGGAGGGCTTTATACTCCCTTCTGCCCCTTCCACCAAGCTGAGGGTTCCTCTAGAGCATCCCTTCCCCCAAACGGAGCACAGCTCTTTTTAGTGCCCTGCACTGGCCTGAGGTGAGCTCTCCCCTCCCATCCTGACTGAGAGTCCTCGTATCATCTCTGACCCTGACTTCCTGTGTGACCTTTGGCAAGTAGGTAATTTCTTCGGACTCTAGTTCCCCAAAGCAAGCCTACTCCCTACCTGGAAAGGGCTGTCATAAGGACTGTGCCTGACTGGCACAGCACTGGCACCTCCTGCCCCCTAACAACAGCAACAAACAGCAGGCAGTGGCTGTGGGCGGGGACGCCTGGGAAGAGGAACAGAGTCCAGGCCCTGCCTGTGGGGAAGGTGGGGCTATGCCTCATTAGTGGACAGGGCCAAGTCGGTCAGGACCCAGTCACTGCCTCTTGGCTCAAGGTCTAGGCCCCTCGGCCAGGGGGGGCATCCTCTGCCAAGGTTGTCTACCCAAGGGTCCTCTCCTTGCTTGGGTAGCTCTAAGGCCCAGGACCTGTGCCAACCAGGAGGCAAGGGAGATCCTAAGATCTCAAAGGATTTAGAACACCGTCTCATTTTGTGAGGGTATTGGCGAGGGTGGGGAAACTAAAGCTCAGAAAGGGAAATGATTGTCCCTGGGTCACACAGCCACATGAGTGGGAGAGCTCAGGTTTGAACCGAGGTGTTTTGACTCCAAATTGAGTATTCCTTCCATTACTGTCATTACAGGAGTAGTGGGAGGGAGCTAGTAGGGAAATGTGTCCACCCAGCCTCCCTGACCCCCATATATCACTGCAGAGGGAGGTGGTCCAGCTGGCCTTGACCCTGGCTCCTAGCGCTGCCCTCGGGGACCAAGCAGGAGCAATTGTCATCTCTCTTCTAAATGACTGTCCTTCATATATTCCAGGCAGCAATCATGTTCCCTCTCAAGGTTTCTCTTATCCAGACTAATCATTCCCAGGTCTTTCAACCGAGCCTCAGATGGCAGAGCCTCACAGTCCTTCAGCATCTTCTCGGGATGAGGTCAGGCTTATCAAAAGCCTTCCTCAAATGTCTCCTAGAACCCTTTGTGTTCCGACCTGGGCTGGGAGGACAAGGGATCAAGGCTGAAGGTGCTAGCCCCTGGTGCCCATGAGGTGTCACAGCCTGTGATTATTGTGTGCCCAGGTAGGTGTCCGGAGCAGCTCGGAATGGGACCTACAGAACTGGGGCCTGGGCCGATGGCCCCGGAGAAGGATCCTGGGAACGTCCTCGCATTCCCTAGGGCGACTGCAGAGACCAGCAGTGGGCAGTGCCTCGGACCTCGCCAGTTGTGCTCCTACCCACTCTATGGGCTCAGGGCTTGCAGGAACCTCAGGATCTCTCTCCCTGGTACAATCCCAAGAGGGTGAGACATCTGTATCTGGTTTCTTCAGACAGCCCTTGACCCGCTATGGGGTAGATGGACAGGGCAGGGGGCCCTTTGATGGGGCTCCTTCGAGGACTAGGACTGCAGCTGGTGAGGGCCTCCTGGAGGAGGCAGACCCTAGCCCGAGGAAGGAGGTAGCAGGCCCCTGTGCCCAGAATGGCACCACTGACGCCTCCAACGCCCCACAGCCCCAAATTCCATGAGGTCTGAGCCCACCCGCCCAGTTCCCTGTCTCCCTTCTCAGCAAGCAAAGGATGACAGCTCTCATGATCACTCAATAGAGACCCCTGCATTTGGGGAGCCAGAGCCGCCCCGTGAGGGCCCGTTGCCAGCCAGGACCACCTGCTACCTTGTCACCATCACCCTGCAGGGGAAGAGAGAGGTGACTCCCGGGGAGGAGGGAGGGGAGCCAGAGCTAGTACCGTCAGTGCCGTGGGAGCTGAAACCAGCCCGACCAGCTCCTTGCCCAGGCGGCCCTGAAGAATTCCAGGGCTGCCGGGCGAGGGCGCAGGCCCCTCCCCAGGAGCCACGCCCCATCACGGGGTGTCCCGACTCCAGGCCCTGGGAACCCCAGTTGAAAGAGGACCGGTGCCCAGGGAGAGCAGGCAAGGCTGCTGGGAGCCAGGCCACCGAGACACCTGGATCTCTGGACAGAAGGTGAGCAGTGGAGGGCTCTGTTTGGAGACAGAGACACACATTTGGTTTTCTTTGACTCCATTCTCTGAGCCCTGCCTTTTCCTCCAAACTAGAGATTCATTCATTCTTCTCCTCTAGCTCTGAGTTTTGTCCTTCCCCAGCCTGGGAATTGAACATACTCCTTTCTCTTCTCCCTTCCTGCTACCCCATCTATGCCATCTTTCCTTCCAGTCGACTAGAGACCAGTCCCTGTCTATGTGGCTGGCCAGGGCAGTGGCCAGTATCAGAAGGGAGTCACCCCATCCCCACCCTCTGAAGGGATCGGGCACGCAAATCCTGGCCTGGGAACCTGCTTCTATCTAGTCTTATTTCGGATGCCAAGGTGCTGGGTGTCCTGGGGCAAGTTGTTCACCCTTTCTGGGCCTCAAGCTGTCAAGTGGATTAGGTGCTGGGTTTGTAAGGAGGTAGCAGGAAGATGCTTTGAAGTCCTGGGAGGCCTGAGCTGTCAGAGCCCAGGTTCACATGAGTGAAGTTAGAAAGGTTCTTAGTTGTCACTGAGCCCTACTCCTTTGATTTATAGAATGACAGGGGGGCTCTTCATCACAACAAGAATTATATTAAATTATATTATATATATATAATATATAATACATTATATTAAATTATATTATTAAAGTTAACTATTGATGCTCTGGGCTAATGGAGGCAGACAGCGGCACCCAGGGCCCCTGAACTGAAGGAAGTGGGCAGCACTGGAGGGAGAAAAAGGAGGGGAGCCTTGGGATTTTCTTTGGCCAAGAGGAATCCAGCCTAGGACTCCACAGTGGGAAACCCACCAAGGAAGATCGTATGACTGCAAAAAATAAGTGGAGAGCTTCAAAATATTGATTCTGGTGAATCTTTGGATTCTGAGTTTTCCCGTCATGCCTGTCTTCACCAGAGACCTCAGGAACCATGGTTTCTCTGATTCCTGTTCCCATAGAGATCTCAGGTCATCTGAGAAAATAGATGAATGAATGAATGAAAAAAGAATTAACCATTTACTAGGTACCAACCACTAGGAATACCAACGCGAAAGTGAGATAGCCCCTGCCCTCAAGGAACTTATATTCTAACAGGGGGAAGACAATGTATGTAAGTTTTGTATTTGTTTCAAGAGGGAATAGGGAGCCACTGGAGGTTATTGAGTAGGAGACATGAGATCGTCAGACCTGCACTTTAGGAAAATCACTTTGCCTGCTACCTGGTGGAGGAAGGGAGTTTTTGCCTGAGACGCAGCACAGCTAATGGCTAGCATCCTGGTCATGGAGTCAGGAGAGCTGACTGTAAATCCTACCTCAGATGTTTGCTAGCTGTAGAACCATCGGAATGTCACTATACCTCTCTAGACCTTAGTTCCTTCATCTGTAAAATGGGTATAATAATAGTTGGAGCATCTACTTTTCAGAGTTTGGGAGAAGTTTGAATTTTAATTTTTATTATTTGTCTTGTCCATTTTCACCCCAGGCTAGGAAACTTTCAAACATTCACTCTCTCTTGTCCCCACATTTCCCCTTTGACTCCAGAGAAGAGTATGCGAGGCTCTAAAAGACTTCCAGTCGAGGGGATTCTAAGAAGTTCCGGGTCTGAAACCTGGCCTTGACTCTTCCTACCTTCCCACCCACCTCACGTTTCTGGGCCTCAGGTTCCTTATCTGTTAAATGATGCGGTTGGAGTTGAAGGTTTCTAAGGTCCCTTGCAGCTTAGGATCTTTGATCCTGAGTGCTAGGTGATACCAAACCGATACTCTTTCCTCTCACTCCTGATTGTGAGGACAGTGGGTGTGTTTATTGTTATGAAAAGTGCAGAAATTATTTAATCATTATATTCATAATAAGTAAGCACTCTTATCTATATAGCACCTTAAGGTGTACAAAAGACTTTCACATCTCGTTTTGCAGATGGGAAAACTGAGGCTAAGACAAATATTTTGTTAATGCTCTGGTAGGGGAAAAAAACAAACAACAGAACACTGGACTGGTAACCAGAAGAGACTGAATTCTGCAGATAACTTGCTGTATGACTATATAAGCTTCTTTATCACTTTCCATCTCTAAGCCTCAGTTTCTCCATCTGTAAAATGAAGATAGTAATACTTGTATCATCCATCTCACAGGGGCTATTGGAAAAATAAAATGGCAGACTGCATAGAGATTTAGAGTTAGACAAAATTTTAAAGTCAATTAGTCCAATCTCTTCCCTTTTTTAAGGAGCTGATCTCCAGAGAGGTCCTGACTTACTCAAGGTCATACAGATAGTAATCAATCGGTAAGCACTTAATGATATGCCAGGTGCTCTTCGAGGTGCTAGGGATACAAGGATAGAGATGAAACAATTCTTGCCCTCAAGATGCTTGCATTCTATTGGGGAAAGCAAAATACGCATGGCATGCCTACAGTATATATGTATACCATATATGATATATACATGTATACCACAAACAGCATATACATGTATATGTTATATACAAAGTAAAGACATGGTAATTTCTTGGGGAGGCGTTGGTGACCGGTGGAAGACGGAGAATAAGAAAGGATGAATATAGGTTGAACATGACCAAGACTTGGAAACAATCTGGGATTCTAAGAGGTGGGGGCAAGGAAAGAGCACATTCCAGGCTCGGGGAGCAGCCTACAGAAAGTCACAGAGATGGGACCAGAAGAACTAAGTGTAAAGTAGAGCAAGAAAGCTCATTGGACTGGACCATAGAGGGCATGAAGAGGATTAATATGTAATAAGCCTGGGAAGGTAGATTGGAGCCAGATTGCGAGGGCCTTTACATGCCAAACAGAGGTTTTGTATTTGCTTCCAGAGGGAATAGGGGGCCTCTGGAGGTTATTGGGTAGGAGAGGTGAGATCGTCAGACCCACATTTTAGGAAAATCACTGCCTGCTGCATGGAAAGTAAAGTGGAGTGGGGAGAGAGGAGGCAAGGAGCTCAATGAGGAGGCTGTCGCAATAGTCTGGGTGAGAGGTGAGGAGAGCATTAACCAGGGCAGTGACTGAGTGAGTGGAGAGAAGGAGAGGGTTGTGAGATGTTGTGAGTTTTCAGGCAGAGTCAACAAGACTTGAAAGTGACCTGAATAAGTTGTTGTTGTTGTTTTTGATCCTAAGAGGACTAATGATAGCACGAGGGCCATGTCTTGACTTGCACTTGCACATGAATTGGATTTAATCCAGGCAGAGCTGAGCAAAGTTGTCACCTTCACTCTCTCCTCCAGTGCCTTGCCCCTGGACTTCGATCCACTGGGATATGGGAAATGAAGGAGAATGTGGATTGAGGATGACGTTAAAGCTAGGAGCCAGCGGTGACTAGAAGGATGGTGGTGTTCTCGACAGTAGTGGCAGAACAGGGATTTGAACCCGGGTCCCCTAGGCTTGGAGTCAGAGGACTTGGAGTTGAATCCTGGCTTTTCTACTAACTGTATAAATCACCATGGGCAGGTTCCTTAACCTCTTGACCTCAGTCCTTCATTTATAAAATGAAGGGATTGGATGACCTCTACATCAATATCTATTTATAGTATATTCTATTTATATTATATAGTATAATCTATTTATATTATACATCCCTTATTTGATCATTTTAAAGGCCTTATGAAATGGGTAGAGCAAGTATTTTCACATCCTCATTTTATAAATGGAGAAAATGGGGTCCAGAGAAGTAGTTTGTCTAAGGTCATACATCAAGTTATTGGTTGACTTCGGACTGCAACCCTGATGCTCTGATTACCACTCCAATGGTTCTTTTGCTCTCTGAACCCCCATTTCTCCAGCTGCTAAATGAACTGGTTAGTTTGATGGTATCTAAGCCTTCTTCTAGATCTAATATTCTATATTCTGAGGCCCTTCCTAGATCTTAACATTTTATGTTTTAAGATCCCTTCCAGATCTAATATTCTATGAATTAACTTTCCCTCATCTAACAGAACAGAGGCAGGTGTTGGAGAAAATTCTGAAGGTAGACCCAATGGACCACTGAAGAGATTAAAATGTCCTTGTCTCCTGAGGCATTTGATATTCTAGGGTGCCTCCCATCTCTGACATTCTACAAATGTTTTTTAAATGAATGCTTTCGATTCCTAGAAATGTCCTGCTCTTTCTCTATTTCCTCTCCTTTTCCTGTGTCCACTCCCAATCCCAGTTCCCCATAGCAGATGGTGGTTGCTAGACTTATGGATGACCTTGAGTAGACCCCAGGTAAGGCTGCTTCTCAAATCATCTGGGACTCAGCTTTGGATAAGGAGAGTGAAGGGTCAGAGAGAAGGGAGGAAAGGTCAAAATAAGGAAGAAGCTGGGGTGAGGCTGTGGGTGGCCCCTACCCAGTCCTCTCCCTATCTATTTTTGGCCCCAGGTACATAATGATAGACTCTATGGATTCCCAGCTGGAATCTGCTGCCCCCCACACTTTTATGCCCCCACTCTGACAACTGCCCTGTGAAAGCCCTTGAGGCCAGGGGTGGAAGGCATTGGAGAAAGGAGAGGTGTGTGGTTGGGGGGGGGGGATGACAAGGACAGATGGGTTTCGGTTGGATCCATGGTAGTGAATGGGTGTGTAAGTGCGGGTGTGCGTGGAGACTGGTTTGGCCCAGTTTTGGGGGTGACTCACAGGTGAGTTGAGGGTTTTGTTTGACTTGTTGGATTAGGCATCGCTTCCCCACCCCCATCCACTTCCCAGTCCCACAGGCCATGTTTTGAGGGTACAGGTTATCTTGTCCATCCTTCTTGCCTCCCCCTCCCCCATATACCCCTAAGGATCCAACCCATGGTTAAAGTGAGAGTGGGTGAGATTCTGAGATACCTTCTTGCCTCCTGCTCATGAAAGAGATTTAGACAGTTGGAGCTCTCTCGCTCTCTCTCTCTCTCTCTCTCTCTCTCTCTCTCTCTCTCTCTCTCAAGCTGAGTCCCATTCCCTCACCAAGTCTTCCACTACCTTCATTGAATCCTGCCCCCCAGCCTGAGCCCCCTTTCCTTTCCCCTTCA